ACTAAAATAATACTTTGTCGAATAAATCAATTAAAAATAAATTTAGGTTGAAACAAAAAACAATAAAAATTTATTAAAGCTTATTTATTTAATAAAACTAAAATATAAAACTTAAAATTGAACTCTAAGAATAATTAAGTATAACAACCCTCAAATACACAAGGAATACGACTTATGGAAAAATAAATTAAACATCAAATATCTGAAAACCTGGCGTATCTGATTTCTTTGGAGCTGGTAAGGTCCGCACCGGTCCTGGAACGACGGTCAGTCCCAATTGGCAGCGGCGCCGTCGCTCCGCCTTTAGACCAGCAAAGTCTGTTTTCTGGGGCAGCACTGAGAACCTCCTTCCTCGCGGTAACGCTGACATCTTCTTGAACAGCACGCGAGCTTCGACGCTCTGTACTGGGTCCATGACGTCCATTATTTGTCTTTCCCGTTTCTCAATAATTTTTCTTTCTTCGATTTGGACCTCGTCCTCCATCATCTCGACACATTTCCTGAGGAAGGCCTGCACCTGTGCCGTATCCTGCACTTTTTTGGAATATTCATAGGCCTCTTCGACTGCGGCCCGTACTTCATTAATATTGCTCTGCTGCATTTCGCCGCTCATCAATGCAAACAGGCCATTAAGCCACCACGTCGCATTAGATATTTCTTGCGCCTCCCGTTGTACTCTCTTCGCGTAAAACTTACTGAGGGCATAATTTTTTTGAGTTGTCAACATTCTAGACATTTCGTACATCAACCAACATCGCATAGTAGAATTTTCGCACATATCTAAAGTTGCGGAAACTTTGGTCAAAGCTTTTTTAACGTCTACAAACTTATAAGGATAATTACATAAGACTGAGTCGAAAGACTTCGGTCGACCGACTGGAAGTCCCATTAGGAAAGCGATTCTCCGTCTATTGCCACGTTCGCTGAGTCTGTAGGAAAGACGATGCTGGCAAAAGTAAGCCTCACCTACTGCTCTGTAGAGACGATCTATGTAAATATCTTTGTCAGGTAAATTACGTGGCGTCTTCATGTCAAGTAATTGTTGCAGCCGTTCTGCGTGCGACATGACTTCCATAACTCGTTTCGCTCGTAAACATTTTTCAATTTGTTTCAATGAGCGATCAACGTATCGGGCATTTATCTCACGTTCTCTAGCGAGAACTTCCTCTTTATATTTATTTTGATACTTTGATTCAGCCCTTTCGCCAAATTTGATTGAGTAATAAGGCTTTTGAGCGCGCAACATTTCCTGTCGTTCAGTTAATGAACGTAATGTTTCTCTTGCTATTTTTTTAAGCTCAATACTACCAGCCATATTAGCTGACATCAGTCTTTCGTCTTCTTTAAGCTTCAGTAGGAAGAACTTATCATATGCCATCGGTCCCAAGTATTTCATAGCGAGAACGCGAGCTAAAGTTGCGTGTTTCCTAGCTTGCATTTGAGTTAACTTTTTCTTAGTTGTCGGATGAGGAATTCGGGAAATGTGTAGCTTTTTTTTCGGTTCATTTTCATCTACGACTGCGACCTCAGATTTTATAATTAAGGGTAAAAAATCTAGCATAACATCTCCGGCGTTGACTCCTATGCAATCCTGTATAGTTTCTATTCCTTGGTTAATGCCTTCCACAAAATAAGGTGGTTGACGGCGCACCCTGGCTCCACGGTAGTTCATCACCACTGATCTTTCGAAGTCAGACATGGTGTACATAGCCCGACATTGCGTGCTCCGGGCGATCATATTCTCCGGCTCCAGCTTGAGTGCCAGCTCTGCGTCTGTGTACGCTTGAAGCGGCTGGACAGCATCAGAACAAACCTGGCTTCTTCCCGTAAGCGTCCGTACATCTGTGTTTGCGTTAGTGTACGCTTCATCGTAGGCTGTTTTGGCTTTTTCAAATTGTTCGAGTCTCCTTAAATACGCTCCCCTCTCGCGATACACAGTCAAAGCACTATACAGTTGTTTCTCAAACATTTTAAAATCTTTATAAATATGTAGGGAAATACAATATAACTGTGTAAATATTCAAAATATTTGTTGTTAATCGTAAGATAGCAATCAATGTTCTTGATAAAACAAAGTAATCTGACATAAATTGACTGCAAATAGATTTAAAGCAATGTTTGTCACTTTGTCATTATTTAAGAAGAACGTTTTTTTTTTAATTTTTGATTTAACCTTCTTTCTATAGTACTGGAAAGATAATTAAAAAAATTATTTGTATTTATAACAAAGAAATACAAACACAAAAATATGACTTCTTCATGTTTTCCCTTATTTACGCAAGGGAGTATATTATGTTTAAACTCGGCGTACGTCGCGGTCCTTTTTGGTATAGATGTAGACCATTGTGTGGAAGAACACATAGGCTATTATTATTTTTTTAATTCAGCACGGATGTAGTCTACGGCAACAGCTAGTCTTCTATATTCTCTTTTACATGAACAATGGTTAATTTTATAAATAAAAAAAGATGATTATGAGAATAACAAAATTTATTATAAAACAATACATAAAGTTATACATCAAAGTAACAATAATAAAGTGTTAATTTATTATAAAAAAACATAAATTTGTACTACAAAGTAATAATAATAAAGTGTTCTAAAATAAATAGATTACAAATCAAAAACTTGAAAACCTTTCGTATCAGATCTTGGTGGAGGAGGCAAAGGCTTTTCATGTCCTGGTAGCACAGTTAGCCCTTTTTGACGTAACCGGGTACGTACTGATTGCTGACGCTCCGCTTCCGTCTGTGTTTGTGGCAAAACGGTAAATCTTCTACCCGGCGGAACATTTGACATTCGTTTAAACAAAACCTCCGTATTGACACGATTAGTCTCATCCATGACGCCCAATATTTCTTTTTCTCTTTGCTGCATCGCTTTCCGATCATCCGCCGCTCCTACATCGGCCATCATTTCGCCACATTTCCTAAGAAACGCAACCACATCTTCTGGATCTTGTAGTTTTTTGGAATATTCTATAGCTTCTTCCACTTGTATTTTTACTTCGTTGGCATTTCCTTGTTTCATGTCACTGCTCATTAAGACAAACAATCCATTCAGCCACCAAGTCGCATTGGAAATTTCCTGTGCTTCACGCTGACAACGTTTCGCATAAAACTTAGCCAGCGGGTGATTCTTTTGAGCGGATTGGAGTCGAGCCATTTCATACAATAACCAACATTTCATGGTTGAATTTTCACACATCTCTAATAGCGCTGCAACTTTACTGGTAGCCTTTTGGACATCAATAAATTTTTGAGGATAGTTTGCGAGAACAGAATCAAAAGATTTAGGTCGACCGACGGGAAGTCCCATTAAGAATGCGATGCGCCGTCTATTTCCTCTTTCGCTAAGTCTGTAAGAGAGTCGATGTTGACACAAGTAGGCCTCTCCCACTGCCCTGTATAACCGTTCAATAAAACTCTGTTTATCTGGCAATGTTCGAGGAGTTTTTGTATCTAAGAAAGTTTGCATTCGTTCTGCATAAGATATTACGTTCACAATACGTTTGTCATTTAAGTTATCTTCGATATGTTTTAACAGGCGTTCAGCTTCATGCGCCCCGATTTCTCGTTCTTTTGCGAGTACAGCTTCTTTATATTGAATTTGATGTTTTGATACAGCTTTTTCCGCTAGTTTTATCGTGTAATAAGGCTTTTGTGATCTTAGCATTTCCTGCCGCTCGCTTAATGTCATTAGCGTTCCGTCCACCAATGTTTTTAATTCTTTGCTACCCCTTGAATTAGCAGATTGTAGTCTCGCGTCCTCTTTGAGGTCTTGGAGAAAAAATTTGTCGTATGCCATTGGTCCTAAATACTTCATTGCGAGAACCCGCGCCAAAATGGCGTGTTTTCGAGCTTCCATTTGGGTTAACTTACGTTTTTTTGCTTGACGTGGAATACGAGAAACATGAGACTGTATTTGTGGTTCATCTTCGTCGACTACGGCTACAGCGGATCGCTTGATTATCGGCAAAAAATCAACCATTACACTGCCAGCATTCAAACCTATGCAATCTTGTATTGTTTCTACGCCTTGATTTATGCCTTCGATGAAGTAGGGCGGATACCGACGTAATCTCGAGCCACGAAAATTTATAACTACTGATCTCTCAAAATCAGACATTGTATACATAGCCCGAGCTTGCATATTGCGAGCCACCATATTTCGTGGCTCTAATTTTAATGCAAGTTGGGCGTCAGTGTAAGCCTGTATGGGCTGGACGGCATCGGAGCACACTTGGCTGCGACCGATGAGCAATCGCACGTCTTCAGGAGCATTGTTGTACGCTTCATCGTAAGAAGCTTTCGCTTTATCAAATTGTTCCAATCGACGTAAATACGCCCCCCGTTCCCTGTACACGGTCAATGCACCGAACATACGAGGTTTTTCTTCCATGATAAACTTGTAAGAAAACAGTAAATTGATAAAAAAATACAAAACAGTTAGAAATCAGAAATTATATTACAATGGCATTTTGACGTAATGCATATTTTTTAATTAAGGTGAAAGAAGAAAGTATAAATGCGATCTTGTATGTGACAACGACAAGGAATATATAACTCATATGTCTATTTAATTAATTTAATTACTCTTAAAATATAAGTAAATTTTTTGTAAACTAAAATAAATGGTACTTTTTATTTCTTTATTGTTACTAGTCGCTATTTCTGCACGAATAAACTAGCTGTCGCCCGCGACTCTGTCAGCGCGGAATTAAAAAAAACTTATTTAGCCTATGTGTTTTTCCAGACTATGCTCTACGTATATACCAAATTTTATCGAGATCGGTTGAGCCGTTCTGTACATACCTTCAAATCCATCATCCAAACATTCGCATTTATAATTTTAGTATGAATAGTATGATTTTATTCAACACTCATCATGCTGGAGTAGGATAAAGATCTGATAAGATGATTTTCAACAAAAAATGTTTCACAATTAAAAAAGTTTATTGTTCAATCAATCAATAAAATCAGTCCATATTTGTTTGAGACTTAAACAGCAACAAAAGAGGCGGCGGCGTAAGGAGCGGCGAACCTCGCCACAGGGGAGTACAGTGGGGAAGCTACCCTGGCGACCGGAGCGGAATAGGCGACAGGTACGGCCGAGGTGTAGGCGGCTACCCTAGCCACGGGAGCGGCGTATGCGGCGTAGGTCAGAGGGGCAGCTACTGGTGCGACGGGAGCAGCGTACTTGGCGGCGACCACCGGGGCGACGGGGGCGGCGTACTTGGCAGCAACTACTGGGGCAGCAGCAATACGGGCCGGTACCACAGCGGGCTCAGCAACTACAGCGGGTGCGGCCGCTACCAGGGGCTCTTTACGGACGACAGCGTTGAAACCGTTGATTGAATCGGCGGAGTAGTCGACGGTACGACGGGTGCCATCGGGATCGACGAGGGAGTACGAGCCCTGGACGAGGTCACCGTCACGCTGTTCTGTTTGGCTCTTGTAGTCGCCGGTGAGGGCGTCGGCCACGTCGTATCCAAACCGGTATTGGGGAGCGGGATCGAACTCCTCGAGCTTGGCGAGCGCGGGTCCGGCCACCACGGGGGCAGCGGCCAAGGGAGCAGCGACAACGGGAGCGCTGGCTCGGGCAAAAGCCAACAGGCACGAGAAGACGACAAACTGCAAAACACGTTAAATATTAATGATAGAATTGTGATAAGTTTAGGAATTAAAAGAAACTATGTATTGAGGACTAGAAGCGTATTAAAATATAAACTTATATGCAGTTGCTATTCTCTTCGCTATAGAACTTAAAAACAACTAAACGACGAATTTTAAGAACTTTTGATTGTTTACATTCAAGCGATAATGTGGAGTAAAGCCACTAAAAATATGGTTGTACTTGAAACCGTGACACCGTTTAAGAGGGCAAGACTAGTACGGTTACGCAAGTTTTGCGTGGAGAAATTACAAACAAGCCAGCGTGGAGCCGTCAAGGACGCGGCCGCTGTCCCCCGCATCTCAATGAGCTTAGACGATGAGTGTACCGAGTCCTGACACTGCATTCTTAGACAATTGAAGTCGTGAACACTTTTACTTCTTCACTGTTATTGTTTTATGTTGAGTTAGAAGAACTCGTCGCTCAGGACTAGAACATATTATGTTGGTAATTAGATTTAAGTTTACTTTTTTAAATGATATCTCATTTCATTGTGAAAATTTAATTATAGTACAGCATAAAAAATAGTTTATACATAGTAGAATGGGCTGTTTCAATAATTAATTGAAAATTTATACGAATATTTTTATCTTTAACAGTGTACAGTAACCTAACAACAATTTCTCTTGAAGTTGAAATTGTCGAAAATGTTTTTAATATTAACCATGAAATATAGTAAAAAAATAAATTATTGCAAATATATATCGCATAATTATTAATCTTAAATATTTTAATATCAAAGGCTGTATATCTTAGTAATGGGAATTCGTATTACCTTAAAGGCCATTGTTGATGGTTGAGGTTAAGATGGGATGGTTTGTAGAAGCCGAATGTGACTATGCTCCTGTCGGGTTTGCCAGTGTATATATACTACTGACGAGTTGTGACACAGTACCAGAGTGAACGCTTAGTATTATTCAGGTGCATCACTCTGGATGTGCGCGCAATTGGAAATGAGCTTGTAATTTGTCAATGGCGGAAAATTCGAACGCGTTCTTGACTTTAGGCCAAGTTTGTTATGAAATTGTAACAGATTGGCGTACCATATACTTACTCTATGAAAAGACCATTTGCACGTATCTGATACCTGTTTTTGGTCACTTTGAATCGCAACGCCATACTATACAGACGTGTACAGCAAAGTTATGTTTTTCTAAAGTTTACAACGACTACTTTTACGACGTTTACGACGTTTACGACGACAACGACAATTATGTTTTACTAATCCTTTGCTTGGTTAGTTGGTTTATAAAATCTATAATAAATACTGGGTTAGAAACATAAAGGAGAAATTCACAACACAGTCTTTAAACCTCTCGTAAGATATATGTATAACAAAGTCTTAAAGAGATTGGTAAGTAAAGAAGTAGATTAGAAGTAATGCAATGTAACGTAATGTTGACGAGAGTGCTTGTGAATTTTAAGAATTTTAAGATAAGCGTACATAAATGTAAGTGGTTATGTATACTAAGCTTGAATAGAACTTTAAGTTTGTAATACAACATTGGTTGTTTAAAGAATGCTTATTGTCATATGCTTTGCTCCATGCGTTAATTCGGAGCCTGCTACTTAATGCATTTCATCATGCATAAATTATTTCATTAAATTGATCAACGTGATATAAATATATAAAGCGAAATGTCACATCAAGTCGAATTACTTAAGTTCACGTTTTGCCTCCGTTTTACATACAAAGGTCTTGTCCGAATTATTAAATGCCAACATTTCTTTTAATGGAATTATAACCTTATAAGTTTTGTAAACACAAACATTACTAAATTATTATTATTAATCTATGTAAATTCAAAGATTTATTTCCTGCCTTCAACTTCCATAAAAAGTGTTTTACTCTGATTCGGTACAATTTTATTATGTTCTTCACAAATTATTTCGTACTAATTAAGTAATAGTACGTTACATCCTACATGTTGCCCGTACATGTTTACATAGTGTGTATTTGTTTTTTTAACATTCAATAAAATTTCATTTCACGCAACTTAATTGTAAAGGTGAGAGAAAGAATATGTGATATCGAAAATGATTTATGTGATTTTCTAAAATTTTGTAACGGAACGCTAAACTATTCAAACTTTCGTGAGACATTATAATAAACTGTTGTAAAAACGGCTCAATCAGACTGAGCGATGGGCCGCGTCTGCAAAATAATACCAGTACCACCATCCTGATGAAGGGCCCCTGATGGGCTCGAAACTAGTCGGTGCCGCCACCGGACGAATATACGTGAGTGTTTAGCCGTTCATATCAGTTTATTGGAACGCTGAACGTTATTCAGGATAATTTTCTAAACAGAATAAAGCCTTCTACTCAATTCTACTGCTACATGCAAACACTTTATAGCCTCTTATGTTCTCGTCTTTCTCCAATCATTATTATGACCATTTGTAATTTGAATGTATACAGCAATTGCGTTTGTCTCATATGTTTTAGTTTGACGTAGCATTTTATTTTATTTATTATATATATTTTACTTTTGAATAACCTTTTTGTAATTTCTACGATAGTAAAGAAATACGAGTTGTATTGTACGTATTTTTATTAAATAATTATTTTACGTATAAAAATGTTTCCTATTTACAATGTTAATAATTATTTATATTTACAATGCTTGTGATCCATACTGGTTCTTTTCGAAATGGCACATTTAATGGTGGTAGATGGGGGCAGAGTATGCAAGGGGCGCGGCGTGTACTACCGGGGCGGCGTGGTAGGCCACAGGGGCGGCGTGGTAAGCGACGGGAGCAGCGTGGTAGGCGACGGGCGCGGCGATCTTGGCGACCTTGACAGCGACAGGCTCCTTGTTGACGACGGCGTTGAAACCGTTGTGTGGGTCGGCGGTGTAGTCGACGGTGCGCTTGGTGCCGTCAGGGTCGACGACCGAGTAGGAGCCGTGGACAACGTCACCATCACGGGTCTCATGCTGGGACTTGGAGTCTCCGGTGAGTCCGTCCTGCACGTCATAAGCGAAGCTGTACTGCGGGTGCGAGTCGTATTCCTCTACGGCAAGCTTGGCGACAGGCGCGGCGGCGTAGGCCACGGGCGCGGTGTGGTAGGCCGGCGCTGCGTACGAGACAGCTGCTGGCACCAGGCCGGCGCTAGCGACTGCCACAAGGCATGTCAGAACGATGAACTGGAAATAATAAAAATTACTTTGGTATGATTCCTTTAATCTAAAAATGTTTTAAATTGTCTAAGCGCCTTCTAAGGAAGAGATTGAATACGAAAGTATATACTTTTTTTTGTTTATAATCATGAAAAATCTAATTACTTAAAAGTCTTTAGCCCTCACTAACTACTCACTTTAAAAGCCATTTCTGCGAGTGTTATGATCGACTGCTAGATTGAGTATGATGTTGAGTGGAACAACGCTCCGATTTTATACTTTCAACGTCGTAGCCTGAGGCAAATAACATACACAAGAGTATACGGTGCACCGCTTTGATATAACAACTATATATTTGCAAATATGAAATATTTATATCACTTGACGTAACTTAAACGTTTTAAAGAATAGTTTTAGTAGCTTAAAAGTGTTAGAGTACTATACCTTACTTAATAATTTAAGTTTTAAAATGCATGCGTTTGGCTGCAGGTGAGCGAATTAAAGTGACTCGGAAATTAATCAAGATATCGACGCTAATAAATAAAAGAAGAACAAACATGCATTACTCAGAAGAATTGAGTAAAATATGTATGAGTATAACTTCAAAATCTTTGAATAAAAATACCAGTTCCTAATAAAAATTTGTAATTATGAGGTATTGTTTATAGAAATAACAAATATTTTCATACTCATTATCCTCATTACAGAACTTCAAAATACAATTCAAATCATTGTTTTTGAGATTTGAATTGTTAGATTAAGATTTAAGATTTTTTTGGTAATTAATTTATTGCATTTAGTATCAAAACGTTGTGTTATTTAATTCATTCTCCGTTAAACATTTTTTCATAAATGTCGTGAAATTGAATCGTAAGAAAATAAAATAAGGATAAATGTCAATATGTAAAGTGCTTTCTTCAGCAATAAATTATCGCTCCGGCGACCTTGCTCCACTACCACGTGCGGTCTAGCTAAAAAAGTCGTCGTCCGGTCGCGGCCGACACGCCAAGCATCAACGAACTTTGTTGAGTATAAAAGCTCCAACTTTAATAATTTAAATATCATTGTCATAACTACACTAGTCCGAAACACACGTAGCAATGGCTTTTAAAGTAAGTGTACAGCGACATCGTTTTGAGTTTACATATTATTGAACTTGGATTAGTCAAATGGCAATATAAAAATAAAAACTGAGCTAATCTTTAGATTAAGCATTTGATGAAATAAAATAGTTCTGTGATTTATTTTGTGAACTAAATTTAATTAAAAATTCATTGTAACATTTTTAAATTTTACAGTTCGTTGTACTGACATGCCTCGTGGCGGCCGCTAGCGCCGGCTTGGTGCCCGCAGCAGTCTCATACGCTGCACCGGCCTACCACACCGCGCCTGTGGCTTACGCCGCAGCGCCTGTCGCCAAGCTCGCCGTACAGGAATACGACGCGCACCCGCAGTACAGCTTCGCTTACGACGTGCAAGACGGTCTCACCGGAGACTCCAAGTCCCAGCATGAGACCCGTGATGGTGACGTCGTCCACGGCTCTTACTCGGTTGTCGACCCTGACGGCACCAAGCGCACCGTCGACTACACCGCTGACCCCCACAACGGTTTCAACGCTGTCGTCAGCAAGGAACCTGTCGCCGTCAAGGTTGCCAAGGTCGCTGCGCCTGTCGCCTACCACGCTGCCCCCGTCGCCTACCACGCCGCTCCCGTAGTGCACGCCGCACCTGTTGCCTACCACGCCGCACCAGTGGTACACGCCGCGCCTTTAGCGTACTCTGCCCCCATCTACCACCATTAAATGCGCCACTGCCAAAGGAACTTGTAAATAGAAACAATATTTAATGACAATAAAGAATAAGTTTATATATAAATGCAATTTTTTTTAATTCTTACGTAATTGTCTAGCCATATTCATGAACCGAAAATTCAAACCACTGCTAAACGGCAACTGAAAATGTGATTTTATGGATATCTTTCATTTGTATGGAGGTCCAGGAGGACTTAATTAGGACGTGAAGGGTCGAGATATGGCAAAAACTAATGCATTACCTCGTCCCTTAATTAAAAGCAACTTCTCCATTCAATTTGTAACTAAAGAGTTTTAAGCAAGTTCACCATTAACTTAGGGTAGGCTCCGAGCCCCTCGGTGGGGACGTACAGTGAGCTGATGATGATGATGATGAAGCAAGTTAATTACTGTATTATATCTTTAATTTGGAGTTTTGAAAAATATTTTTGGTAATGTTGAATGTACTTTTATTGTTTTTCATGTGGCAAGCGAGCTTTTATATTGATACCAGCTGTCGCCGCGACTTCGTCCGCGTGGATATATAAAAAACTTAACTTACTTTTTATTTTTATTTTATATCATAGATTTAAGACTTTATGTAATCATAGAAATAAGGATGTAAATTAATTAAACGTATTCGATTTTAATTGTAAATAAATTATATTTGATGTTGTATATTGAAAAACTTAATATATAGATAAGTTGAATAAAAAAGCAGCTCTACAAGGCATCCATTCGAAAAAAAAAGAAATAAATATTATCCGTCCGTCTCCGTGCTCTAAGCTACAACCTCACCAATTTTCAACCATATCGGTAAAGCCGTTCTTGAGTTATAAATAGTGTAACTAACACGACTTTCTTTTATATATTATATATAGATATTATTAGATAGGTTGTCTTACGGCAATGCAACAAGGGTAAGTTTATCATAGTTTTATTAAAAAAACAATTGCATTCACTACACTAAGTTACAAAGAACTCAAAGACAGGCAAGGCAACGTTCATCTGGTATTGTAGATGTCCATGGGCGTCCAAGAATACCTCGCTGTTTCCGATGCTCGGTTGCCTTCTCTTATTATTTTTTTAATTTTAAATATAGAGTTATATAGTTGATAAAATATTTATATGAAGGAGGTATCAATAGTGTTGAGGCTCAGTAAAGCTATCCTACTATTGACGTCTCAAATCAAATCTACGTCCATCCATATCTTCGTATCAATGACATTCTTTTATTTAATAAATTGAGCTCAAACATAAATTGAGCCTCAACACTATTGATACCTCCTACATCAAAAACATCAAATGACTGTGTTTCTAAGAAGCTCTGCTATCTTCATTAAATGGTAAAATTTTAGAGACACATTAAAAGTACATTACGATTGATAATGAAATCTTGACGCGTCATTAATCAGTAAAAAATCCTTTTTTTATGAAGTTAAACAAGACAATCGAAATTAATAATTTAAATTATCATCTTTACTTTGCAAATTGCATGCAAACATTGCTATGTTTCGATTGTTTGGTGTCCTAATAAGCTGGACCTTTACAAAAAGCCAGTGTTTTTTTGTAGGCGCTCAGCTTGTAAAAATTGAACTGAATAAAAAGAAATTACCATATTATTCATTGACTTATTTTATTAGCATTAAATATTGGTACTATCTACAAATTATTTTGGCAATGGCACATTTAATGGTGGTAGATAGGGGCAGAGTACGAAAGGGGCGCGGCGTGTACCACCGGTGAAGCGTGGTAGGCAACCGGGGCGGCGTGCACTACGGGAGCGGCGTGGTAGGCGACGGGGGCAGCGTGATAGGCGACGGGCGCAGCGACCTTGGCGACCTTCACGGCGACAGGCTCCTTGTTGACGACGGCGTTGAAACCGTTGTGAGGGTCGGCGGTGTAGTCGACGGTGCGCTTGGTGCCGTCAGGGTCGACGACAGAGTAGGAGCCGCGAACGACGTCACCATCACGGGTCTCATGCTGGGACTTGGAGTCTCCGGTGAGACCGTCTTGCACGTCGTAAGCGAAGCTGTATTGCGGATGTGCGTCGTATTCCTCTACGGCAAGCTTGGCGACAGGCGCTGCGGCGTAAGCCACGGGCGCGGTGTGGTAGGCCGGCGCGGCGTACGAGACTGCTGCGGGCACCAGGCCGGCGCTAGCGGCCGCCACAAGGCATGTCATGACGATGAACTGTGGTCACAAAATAAATTTAATAATTAATTTAGCATCATTTAAAACAAAATAATTGTTATAATATGGTAAACAGTATATGAAATAATTGATTAATAAATACATTTAATTTTTTATGTCTCATATGTACTCACTCGGAAAGCCATTGCTAGTTGTTGAAAGTGAGCGTTGTATGTGATGTGAGAGTGTGCATGGCGGTGTGTTTTATACCAGCTGAGCGGCGCCTCGGGCACTACTGCTAACTAGACCACGCAGACTCCTGTCGCAGTTTGTCAAATTTGAGACACTCTATAAGTCAATAACACAAGGATAACATAATTCATCGATCAAGATTATAGTGATGATTTAGATAGGAATAATAAAAAAAATAATAATCAAGACAACTTTTATTGATAAGAATAAATATACATATTATAATTACGTACAAATTAAACAAAGTTAAAAAGTATTTAGTGGTGATAGATGGGACCGGAATAAGCGAAGGGAGATGCGTGGACGACCGGCGCGGCGTGGACTACAGGAGCGGTGTGGTAAGCCACAGGCCCGGCATGATACGTCAAAGGAGACGCATGTACCACGGACGGCGCTTGGTACGCAACTGGGGTTGAGACCTTGGCAACTGTGGCTACCTTCACGCCTAATGGCTGCTTATGTACGACTGCGTTGAATCCATTTTGGGGGTCAGCGGTGTAATCGACCGTACGTTGGGTTCCATCAGGATCGACGACGGAGTAAGAGCCTTGGACGATGTCACCATCCCGACTCTCGTGTTGTGACTTAGTATCACCAGTGACGGCGTCATGGATGTCATAAGAGAAGCTGTACTGAGGATGCGCGTCGTAATCTTCATCGGTCTGCGATACAGCGGCGTATTTGGCGATGGGAGCAGTGTACGCGACCGGGGCGCCGTGGTAGGAAATAGGGGCGGGGGCCACGGCAGCGCTGGCTACTGCTACCAAGCACGCGAGTACCAAGAACTGAAAGTAAAGTTTGTTTATAGAAATTAATGATCGAGAAATAAAAAAAAATAGTTACGCTTTAATATATATTATTAAAAATAACTTTAATTGAAAGACACAAATATTTATATTTTTATTTTTTCCCCTAAGGTATACAAAGTTTTAATAAAAGAGATTTACTTACTTTGACAGCCATTTTTGTGGTAAATGTATTCCTTAATGAAGTGCAGAAAGAAAAGTGTACGTGATGTAAAGAAATTTGGGATTTTATACTGCAACCAAGATGCCTGAGGCGACGCGCCCTACGACATAAAGGTACTGTACATAGTGGTAATAAAAGCGGTTAAATTTTCTTCAATTTTACAACTTCTTAACGAAGGAGATAGTAGAGGAAGCTACTCAAAAAAGAAACTACTATTGATTAGATTAGAAAGAGAAGGATAAAATGAGAGTAATTGTACATTCGACTTGAATTATCCAAAATTTTAAAGCCTTAAGAAATGTATGAAAACATGTCTTAAGTACAGGAACCTACGTAAAACGGCGTATTATGCGAGAAATCGTATTAAATGTGATCGTATTAACGGGGTTCTACTGTACTTACAATATACCTACAATTGTTTTACAATTTATACTTTATCGCTTCCGCTTATGAATATAACGTAGGCTTAAGTTCGCGAGGCAACCGGCCGCTGGGTCCGATGACAAGTTCCGATCGGGCCATGCATCAGGCAATGGCGCAAGGACTACCAGGTGTTGATGTTCAGTTTATATACGCAATAAATAAGGACAATTTACACAATGCGACGTACGAAAGAAGCTTTTGTAGTGCAAAGGTTAATGCCGCTGTAAACCAGTTGATATCAACGCTATTCCTTTTAGGAAATAAAAATAAGTTTCTGAGTATTACGTTTTAAATTATTAAATTAAGTGGTTTTCGCCAAAACCGACATGGAATATCGAATAGTATATTTTAATCAATGTATCATTTTGCATGTTTGATCTTGGAGAATTCTTTGATGCGTAATTGTGTTTATCGATTTTGAATAGTGAGATGCTTGGAAAACTAGAACAGAGTAGAAGTAACTAGAAAGTATAGAACTAACTATTATAACATGAAAGTTAAGATGTGTGGATGGATGGGTAGATGTTTATTAGAATGTATTTCTAAAACAGCTCTAAAGATCTCGGTGAAATTTGTCATACATGTAGATCATTGTCTGAAAGACAAAGCCTACTTTTGATCCTCGAAATAGTTACGTTCTCGTAGAATAATTTGTTTCGTTTTTATATATTTACTTCATAATATTACAACGGTTCAATATCATCATCATCAGCTCACTATACGTCCCCACCGAGGGGCTCGGAGCCTACCCTAAGTTGAAGGTGATTAGGCCATAGTCAACCACGGTGGCCAAGTGCGGGTTGGTTGACTTCACACATATCTTTGAATTACTTCTCAGATATTTGCTGGTTGTATTACGATGTTTTCCTTCACCGTAAGAACGTCGGATAAATGTAAATATGTAAATCGGAAATCGAAAAACACATTGATACATGGCGGGAATCGACCCCAGCACCTACAGATTGCAAGTCAAGTGCTTGGCCACTGAGCCAGCGACGCTCCTCGGTTCAAAATATTTTATTGAAATTTGACAGAGGTATAGAACATAAAACACACATGAGATACTTTTCATCCTTTTTATAATTATGCTCAGACAAAGTCAGTGGAATATTAAAACTGCATGCATCATAGTTTTAATCACAATTTAATGTTCATAGTAAAAGATATATTCTTACATTAATTTGTAAAAATGATTTATAAGAATAAAATACTACTTTTTATAACGTTAACCAAAATTTTAAGATATACTCATCTCAGAAAATGTAATGAATCAGAATGTTGTGTTGCTAAAAGCTCGGAGAGAAACTTTGCAATCCAGTGATACGTGAAGATTCGATTGAACATCGACCAAATAACAACATGAAAATGTTGTTTGTTTGCGATTTTTAATGTTTTGACGTTTTATTGTTATTCTAATAAGTAGTTTAATAATTTGAGTTTAATGTAAGAATTGTTCATGCTAATCAAAAATAAACTTAATTCTTTCAAAGCAAAGTTGTTTTCGGTTTTACATTAACTTAATTGTATCTGCTGTACTGTGAATGCTTAATTTTAAAATAGGCCTTTTTTTCTTTGAATTTACTTTTCTTCTTCAGAACTTTTTCATTTTACAGAATACAAAATAGTTTGTTTTCATATTTTCTTTGTTCCATAACTGTCAAATTCCAACTAACATTAAGTTACATCGTATCGTTTCTACTCCTAAGAGAATTACAGGATGAAAATAATTTTATATTTTTTTTGGTAAATAAAAATAGATATTTTATTAAAACATGTTTATTTGCTTACTATAAAATAATTTAATACTTTTCGTTTTGACTAGCGGCTTTCAAGTTCCTAGTGATGGTAGATGGGGGCGGAGTACGCGACGGGTGCGGCGTGTACAACTGGGGCGGCGTGTACAACTGGAGCAGCGTGTACAACTGGGGCAGCGACCTTAGCGATGGGGGCACCGATGGGTTCTCTGTGTACGACGGCGTTGAAACCATTGTGGGGGTCAGATGTGTACTCTACAGTGCGCTTGATGCCATCGGGGTCGACGACGGAGTATGAGCCCTGGACGACGTCGCCGTCACGGGATTCGTGCTGGGACTTGGAGTCGCCGGTGAGACCGTCTTGCACGTCGTAAGCGAAGCTGTATTGCGGATGGGCGTCGTATTCTTCTACTTGGGCAACTTTAGCGATGGGCGCGGAGTAGGCGACGGGGGCGGCGTGTACGACTGGGGCAGCGTGTACGACTGGTGCAGCAGCATAGGCGACTGGTGCGGGGTGCGCCGTGTATGTCACGGGAGCAACCACGCCAGCTTGAGCCACTGCGAGGGTGCATAACAGAACTACGAACTGGAAAGTAAAGTAAAAATATATTTGATTTTATTTAACAGTTTTAATTAACAGTTTCACACTGTTATAAAACTTTTAATAAGTAATTAAAAATTTAGGAAGGATAAAAGTTCTAAGTGTGTAAATGCAATTAAACCCACCTTGAAAGCCATTTCGTAGGGTTTGATTGTGACTTCACTCAGAGGGGAGCTGAATTTGAATGTGTCTCAGTAGAGCATCGGACAGTTTTTATATGCTCAGCCTCTGCCCCGGGCGTTGCATTATATCATTGCGCTTGCTCTCAGCTCTCAACCTCACGAGTATAAACCGGTCGCGTTTGAAAGTTTCGTCACAATGAAACGTTTTGTGGAAGTCGCTGCTCTCCCGAAACGGTTAGTATAACAAGATATCAAGATCAAGTGGGCTATATCATTTTATTAATATATCCATGTCATATATCTTTTAGATCGGATATTCAGAAGTTATTAAGCAGCAAAATCTTTGGTGAGCTTAAAAACAGTAAAGAAATTTAATGTATACGAACGAGAAAAAAAGCGTAAAGATTAGGACACAAATTGAAAGATATTGCGGCGCATAACAAAATTTCAGGTGTAGCGGAGCATAGTGGGATGCAGGGGAATGCACTGCGCAGTACGCTGTTGACCTTGGGTCGCAAAACATTTTAAAAGAACTATAACTACTAACTTACACTTGTAAATTATAATTAAGGAAAATATTTCTATGCAATTTAATACTTCTACAAATAAAACTTTTACACAAAATCCATTAATTCGAATTTTTCACGAAAATCTTTCTCAAAATCTATTGCTCTTAAAATACTCTGTCACATTCATTTTGGCCACTAGTCCCACAATCAGGACTGTGTCCTTTTAAGCGTCAGTGTGGTCAACTTAGCTATGATTGATATGTGACTTAAAGATCACTTGCATTTTAATTGAGCCGGCTTTCTTCAAGCATGATGTCCTTGCGCACGCGCATATATTGCAGACGTAACTTTATTGTTTCATCTCGATCAATGAAACTAAAATATAGGTCGAATCACATGCACTTGTTATTTACAAAAATAATAGACTGCTCAGATTGGTTGTTATTTTTTTATATTAGACACAAGAGACAAGAAGTTGTAAATTTATTTTTATTCATGTCTTGAGGGCGTAATGTATTTAGCGTGTTATATACACATGTTACGGTATATATTTTTATATACTGCGATTATGATGAGTGAGGTATCACTTCATTTGTATTCTTCCCCTCAGTATAATAGGAGTACAATCAGTTGATCAGAATTGTCTTTGATTTATAAATAACAAGTACATAGTGATATATATTGTAAGGTTTGTTTTGTATTAGTTTGAGGTAGTATCATGCTCGTTTTCGTTAGTCCAGTATAGAAAACAAATCCACACTGGCATTGGTTTACAACTGGAATAATTTGTAACCACTCTAACTGTAATGTTGGATATGACCACTGAACTGGAATATTTAAAAGGTCGGTCATATCTATATCATTTATAACAAAAACACAGATAAATTAAAACTAAGATCTGTAAGTTTTCATATCAAATTGCACGAATTTTTTAATGCAATAATTTGTTGGGGTTTTAAATGCATAAAGTTCACAATGAAATCGCATTGAACCGGTTTTTAATCAGTTCATGTTAAAGGGCAAAAGAATTGCAGGTCATATTTAATAGCAAATTATTTATATTATTATTAATTAGGTGAAATTATTGTAAATTATAAATATAATTTTAAATGGGATATTTATAATATATGTAACAAAATAATAATAAATCTATACAACAGTTATTGCTGTATTATTTGATAAGGTAGAAATACTGGATCTTTGTTGGATCATTAAAAAAATAATTTTTAAAAAATTAGTATTGACCAGTTACATAATCGTAATTGTCAAATTTGACATAAAAAGCAAACACGTCAATGTCATGGTTGACATCAGTTTGAGTAATTCAACCGAAAGGAAAACTTTGCTTTGGAAGTGTTTCTTCTGATTGAAATTATTTAAAAATACACAGGTAAGTTAATATTTTACATAATTATAAAATTTAACAAGAACGTAAAATTTATTGTTTATTTCACCATAAATTTTATGTCTACTAACATCTGTTTAAAACATATATCTATCTTTATTGTTTTTAAGTGAAAGAAATGAAAATAAATATTGTTCTAATACAAGGTTACAAAAGTGGATATTCACCATAATAAGCAATGCGGTGTTGGGTTTATGAGTTATTCAACACTTACCGCCTACTGAAAAGTAAATGTTGTTATGAGTTTTAGAGAAATTATTGGAAAAATACAATCAGGCGCTTTATATTTTAAAAACACATTATATATAATTATTATGCCTACCCTATAAATTCATACTAAAATATTGTCATCGAATCATTTTTTCATCATGACAGTTATGTGGCGCCGACGTGCTATGAACGTATTGCGTGCCGGCACCAGGTCCAAAATGCACGACCATCTGGACCACGTGACCGGCTTGGAGAAGCGGGAACTCCTCGCACATCTCGCTGGTGACTGCGACCCTTTCCGCATGATGGCTATTAAAAAAGGTAAGTTTCTATTCCTTAATATAATCTCCCACACTGCTACACACAGAGACAAATATAAACCCCTCCTTTATTATAACAAGACAGTTTGCATTTCTCATATTGTCTTAACTCAAATCTCTTGTATACCAGGTCCGGGTACTTGGGAGTGTCCGAATCTCATTCCTAGCGCGTTTAACAAGCGAATTGTGGGTTGCGTGTGTCACCCGGAGACCAACCATATTGAGTATATGTGGCTGCACCTAGGAGAACCCAAGCGATGCGGCTGCGGGTACTGGTTCGAGTTATGTCCCGTTGCACCTCTGTAGATAGTTACACTCATAAACATCCTATCTTTGTCGAATGTATACATTTCTGTTAAGCATTTTGTTAAGTTTTTTTTTTCAGAAAACTGTGTCGTATTATTGTTTAGCTTGTAGTTGTGAGTTAATGTTTGTTAAACTGTACATTAATGGTAATAAATCTTTAAGTCTATCGAATAATAAAACTATGGTTAATAATCTTTTAATTACTTTTTGCTAGTGTTATATTTTAAAGCTCAGCATACCGTATTTTATAATCCAATAGTAAATTATTTAGTATTATTTTAGAAAGGCGGATTAACCCATAGTATTGTAAACATAAATAACAATTACTAAGCAACGAAAATAGCTTATAGGAAAGCCCACTGAATGCTGGTGTTACGCGTTGCGCGTCGCGTATTGTCTGCAAGTAAGGTCGCAGAGAGTCCGTTCGCCGACCCACTTCCCGCGCGACCTTGAAGTTGGTCGCCACTCGGCTTAGCCTCGCTTATTATATCCTTTTGCAAACAGATTATAAATCAAATTATATAATTTGTTGTAACAAACTTCTTTTTTTTTAACTTCTTTTCGATTTTATAAGTTGTTTTTTCCTCTAGCTTTCTTCCGTTTTATATTTAATTAAAACCTGCTTTAACACACTGGTTTAAAATATATTGTTATATAATTTTTTAATGTAATAAAGGGGAATACAATTTTTTATACAAGTTTTTTGGCAGTAGAATATCACAGTAAGAATTAACTATAATATATATACGTGATTTATTTACTATATGAATACATAAACAAATATTTCCGAATAAAATAGTTTAATGTTGCAATAATTATGAAAGTATCTTGAGTAATTTCCGAATTAACACAAACATCAATAAATAATATTTATTGAAATAAATGTTGTTTATTACTACTGTAGGTTCGTAGAAAGAGCAGGATGTTGGTACAATTAACAACATAAGCTATCTCTTTCTGTTAAAGTTAAGTCTTAATCAATGAATCCCATGCGTGTAGATTTTAATTTAAAATTGAATAACTGGCATTATTATTTTTATCAGCTCATCTTTTTATTCATTGTGTAGATATGTTGTAATTATAGCCCTATGCGATTAAATTAGCAAGAGCGAGAGAGCAAGAGCGAGCGTACAAGTATAATATTTCTTATAAGATGATTAAATTGATTTTTAAAACTAACCGCTTCCGCAGGTAGGGTCTATATATATTTATGAAGAAAGATACGACACTAACTTTTAACTTCCGTTCTTTTGCAATTTTTTAACAACTGTTAGTAGTAGTTTCCGGTCCATTAAAAAGAAGGAAACGTAATATTGAATATATGAAGAAAATCAAACACAAATATATTTTTTATTATTTAATTTACACACTTTAATAATAACTTTTAAATTACTGACTATTATCACAATAAGAATATGATAGTTTATTTGTTAATTAACACTTTAATAACATAACTAGATTCTATTTGAATGATAATCTTTGTTAGGTGCGAAATATTCTCCTTCATTAAGTGCTGGTTTATCCGCGACTGTGGGACCCGGCGTGAAATAACTCCTATTGTTAGTTTTAGTAACAGGCACGTAAATTGGTCGCGGCAGAACTTTATGCACGTAAGGAATCGGTGTTAGTCGAACTAATGGCTGAGGATGAGAAGGTATTTGTGGATTATAAGGGTTTTCAGGTTCAGTGTGTACGACAGCTTTGAATCCAATCTTCGGTCCTGCGATGTATTTTACCGTGCGTCGTGTCCCGTCAGGATCTATAAGGGAATATGATCCGGTGACTGTATTTCCTTGTCTCACCTCGTGTATGCTTTTTGCGTCACCCGTTGATGGATTTATAACATTATACGCATAGTTGTACTCCGTACTTGTCGGTGGGTAGTCCGTAACAATAATACTGACGACTGCAGGAATAATGCACGCACTTGCGATCACACACAACATCTGAAATGATAAGACACACTGAACTATAACTCTATTAAAAAACAAATGACTGTAACACTTTAAAAGTCAGGAAATACGAAAAAATTACACCTCACTCGGTGAAATCAATTCGTTTAAGCTCCAGGTGGACACAATGAAACTTAAAAACTAACATTAAAACTTAAATACGCGCGGTAAGCATTGCCTTTCTAAGTCAGTTTGATAATAAAGATTTTAATTGTATATATAGGGTGATTTTTACCCTTATGATTGAACCGGCTCGCTGTTAGGGTTGTAAGTAAATAGCGTTGTGCCTCGAGGCTGCGTGTATTTATAGAAGTGTGCGTTCACTCGAATGTTCCGTATTGCACAGCGCTCTTTGTCACAGAGTAATGCACCTGCAACTCGAGACACTTTACTAATATTATTAAAATTATAATAAAGCTTTACGTCCGACTTACGATCGTTACCTTTACTTTCGTCCCCAGATATGCTCTAATAACTTAATATTTATCAGATCTAAAATTCCTTATTTACTATGTTAACGAAGGGAAAAATATAATGTAGGATATTATTATAAATCTTAAAGTGAACACAACCAAAATATTACGTTGTTTATTTTTAAAAATAAAACAAAGATAAAAAATCCTAAATTGTTTGGATAAGTAATTCTCTAATTAGAGTATTTACCGTTGGTTTCTAACACCCACATCTGTGAAATGAAATATATCGTCATCCCTATCGTTATCTTTGACAAAACAGAGATAAACAATATCTATTAAACGGAAATATTGGTCTTTGTAACTGTAAATTGTCTCTTAGAAATACAAATCATATTTTTTTGTATGTGTACTTATGCTAAAATACATTTACTAAAATATATATATTTTTAAAACAAAACCAAAGCTGTACACGTTCTGTTTATTATTCTATTCAATGAACCACATAAAATTCAACGTACTATAAACAACATAACACTTCCTGTAATTCACGAAAATGACGTCATTCTTTATAGTTTACCTGTACGTATATACTCGTAGTACTATGGCTATGGGAAGTAACACTGTGTAGGAAGTTTCCTGTATATTTATTGTAAACCTAGCTGTCGTTATGTTGTGTGTAGTCTGAGGTAATGAGAAGTCTATGTGTTCTTTCAGACTATGTTCTACATCTATGTCTTTCATCGAGATCCGAGGAGTTTTGGAGATATATTCTAACAAACAGCCACCCATGTATTCATTAGCATTTCTCATATTAGTAAGATTTCACGAATATATCCTTTAAATAGAATTTTCATAAAATTTCATGTGTTTAAAACAAGCACCAACAATAAAGTAAAAAGCAACTGCTTTACTGTCTGATATTTTGAATTTTTATCACAAGAAATTATTTTCTATCTGTTATTGCTCTATATATTAATTATTAAGAAAACAAATCTTTGGCAAAAGTAAATAACTAGTAGAAGTTGTAAGTGCGTAAATAGACCGTGTTGGGTAATGTATTATAACAGCTTATATATATGTTATTACCGCTCACCACGCTGCCGACTCATTAACGATTAGAAATAATTTCCTTTACATATAAATTACATAGATATTATATTTTATATCCACATTTGAGTAAAAAACATAAGGTACAAACTAATACTTTAGCGACTTTAATAAAGAATTGTGTTGTTTAGTTTCTTTGTAAATAAATAAATAAAAGTAAGTAAAATAAAAACATTATTAGATTAGCATTATTTCGATACAAAAGACATCAACGCGCATCAAAACATCAAACAACTTCCGAAATACAATATTTTTTTATCACCAACTCCACGAAAAAAGTTTTATTCAACACAATATTCTTATATATTTATTGTAAAATAGATAAAAATCAAAGCATGCCAATTAGCGTTTCTTAATATGGCGAGTACGTTTCAAACCTTAACATTCACACTTAAAAATATCAACGAAAAACAGATGATTACTAAGCGTTTGTTTGACTGAAACATATAAAAAATTATGTCATATTGTTGTCCCTCTCATACTCTTTAAAAAGACTGAAATAACAATTTGTTCTCGCAATGGAAACACACGGTTATTTTAGATCGATGCTTGTAACATAATATAACTTACACCAGTTTAGTTGACCGCAAACTTTTGTTACCGATCCAGATTCGGATGTTTCGTAACGTTTTGTACAGCCTGCGCCTTTGAAACTTAAGCTCCGTTGACTTTGTTGACACTTATACTTTGTCGGTGAAAGGACACATACACAAACACACAATTAATTACTCCAATGGAAATTTTTTGTTTTTTATTTGTTGGTTTTTTCCGCAATAACAGCATAAATGTTATCGTTAATAATTTTAAACCTAGCATAGCCCTTGTCCGCGACTCCGTCCGTGCGGAATAAAATAACTTAATCAGTGGTATATGTGTTTTTCCAGACGAAGTTTTATATCTAGAAGAAACATCCATCCTTTCAACTAAACTTTCGTATTTAAAATATTGGTATCGAAAGTTTGCTACTATTTATTGCATTTAGTTAACTGTTTACGTATTTTGGTTTTACGAGATAAATAAACAAATGACAACTGGATGTAAAATTCTCTTCAAGGCTTCATCATTTTTCGGAAAAGTATTAGTTTAAATCGTAACAGTAGGTTTTTATTGTCGAAAACACTAGCACAAAAACTAATTATTATACCTATCGTATTCTATATCTTTCAATACAATTATATTGGCGTGTCTGTATGTAATATAGATAATAAAATTTCATATTTCGTAAACATGATTTATACTTAGGTATAAAATAGAAACACTTACATTTTTTTGTACGTGTCTGTCTGCAAATCTGCCTTAGTCCTTAATTCAACGAAATTTTTCGTAGCATAAAAACTGATTTTTTTAGTAAAGTCATATTTACGTAAATTTCTCTAAACTATTATAGTTCAGTAGATTTTTTTTAATTAGTTGTTCGTCACACTGGACACCATCGAATAAAGGGTTAGCTTCAGGTTATCGCCGAAACGGCTTGACCGATTTTGAAGGAACTTTTACTCAAGGCAGCTTCTGTGTGCGGAAGTAACAATTATTTTATTCTGCGCTGACGGGCAACGGGATGCGTATTTGTACATCTGTTATGACAGTGGAAGCCCACCCTCATAGCTAAAAGTAACTGCTGTAAACAAGAAAACAGAAAATAATTCATTTTATTTAAACACTTATATTAATCAGGTTGTGTTTGTCAGACTTTTCGATTAGATTATATTGGGTTGCGGTCGTGCGGTCGTGCGGTCAACACAAATGTTAGTACATAACAGGTATTACTTTACCGTTACATATGTACAACTTACCGCCCTTTTATTATACTTAATTGGAGAACATATAAAATTCTTACCTATATTATAAATGCGGATGTATGGATTGATAGAAGGATGTATGGATGTTTGCTAGAAGGTATCCAACGATGAAATTTGTCATGAATATAGAACATAGTCTAGAAAACACATAGGCTACTAATTATTTTTTTTAAATTGTCGGAGTTGCGGACTGAAGCTTTAAATATAATAAATGTAAATAGAAAAAATTGAAATAAACTTTTTTAGAAATTAAACAAAATATTCGATTCCTCTAATTTATTACCCTAGTATTAACATTTTAAACAAAACACTACAAAATAAACATAAATATTTCGGCAACAATACAAATAGATTTCAGGTCACAGGGGCGAGATAAGCTTGTTTAAACACACTTTACTTTCATATAATCTGATAAAATATTTAAATTCACACAATTTAGAGAGCTTTTAAAAATTCGTACAACATTTAAGATAAAATTACAATATAAAATTACGTTATACATCGAAGTTTTTACGAAAGTAAAGTTGTAACAAGTGTATTTATAGCATCGAAACTAGTGCAAGTATCCGGGAGCGACAGCTTTAACTGCGCCCAGAGGTTGTCTGTGTACGACTGCGTTGAAGCCATTGTGTGGGTCAGCGGTGTACTCGACCACGCGCCGGGTGCCATCAGGTTCTACAAGCGAGTAGGAGCCTTGCACCACGTCGCCAGAGCGCGTCTCGTGTTGACTCTTGGAGTCACCTGGATTTACGAAATAAAAGTAATTATTATAAAAATAACTCACGAAATTCGTTTAGAATAAGTAATTTGAAATTAATTTTGCTTGGCACCAATAACATGAATTGAAAGACTGAAAAGTTTGGACTAATTTATAATGAGGTTATGAACAGTAGCAGTGTTGCAATTATATTAATTTTGTTGGGAATATTGAGGTACGGTTTGGGCATATACCTACAAATTATGTGCCTCAATCCCTGCTTAGAAACAAAGTAGCAAATACTAGAATAACTTACCAGTAAGAGCATCTTGTATGTCATAAGCGTAAGAATACTGCGGGTTCGGATCGTAGTCTTCAACTGGGGCAACTTTAGCAATCGCCGGGGCTACCGCGTAAGGAGCCAATGCTGGCCTAGCGATTGCCAAGGGACTGCTGTAAGCGTACGGCCCGAGGGGAAGACCACCAGCTGCCTCTCTGCACACCATCAACACAGCTGCTAAGAATAAGACCTGCAAAAAAAATATAATTACCTCTTTTTAAATTGCCATCATCTTTTAAAGTTCTACCATCATTAGGGCTATTATATTTGCCAATATTATAAGAAAAAGAGAATTTAATTAGGTACTTTAAACATAAGTTAAAAGAAATATAGCCTTATCCAAAAATTATTTATGTTAATTTTATTTTTATGAAAAAAGATCTTTGTATAAAATGTAGTTTATGGTTTAACAAATAAATATTCTGTTATTTATTTCTTGGAAAAAAGATATTATAAGCATAAATTGTAAAATACGATTTATTGTGTCAGAAATTGCATTTAAAACCTTACAAAAATATATAATACTACAGCCTAAATATATAATTATTAGAAATGTTGTTAGATTTACCTTCATTTTGCGAGCCTATGTTTGGTACTGGTACCTATGTGCTTTTGAATGCTTAGGGGTGTTCGCGCACGCCTTATATACTGTGTGTCTAGACTGCACGCGTCGGTGCCTAGCAAAAACATTGCAATTGTCAGGGCCCTATACCCTTTATCAATCACTTGAATCATTTATATCGAAATTCTTATGCTAAAATCACTCATACTAAAGGATTTTTTTTCGAATAGTACTGAGTCTGATTTAATAGAAATCTTCTACATAAAAGTCATGTATTCTCTTTTATCCTCTAAGGATTTCTAAACATTTCAAGTGAGAAAAAGAACAGACAAAACTTTTCTAATTTACATGTCGTCAGCAGTGTTAAGAGGATGACTATAACTATACTGAACCTATTAAGATGAAATAAATCTTCTTTTTTAATTTATTTTTCTCATCGGTAGTATGAATATTATCAACATTTTTGAGAACAAAGTATCAGCTCACAAGAACGCTTACTATAATCATAAAGAAATCCTTGTCAGTGATTACATCATTTGGTCTTATTCAAATATCAAAGGCATAGTATTAGGGAGGTTGTATTACAAACATGACTGTTTTTAGGTCACAGCTGCACCTTATCAGAGCGTGTGAGACATTGCATGTATGATAATTTATAACAGTCTGTCCTTACACGACAAACACACCTAATCGTAACAAGGAATGTCATAAATGCAATAAAATCATCAGAAACTCGTCAAAGTACATAAAAGATTAATTTTCGTCTGTAAATTATTTTTTAGTTAATTGATAATAAATAAGTTGATATGATCATATGATGCAATATACACCTACGTTTCTGTACTTTATATTAGATTTAAAGTAAGCAAAGAATCTTTCGACAACAAAAACTGAAAAAACTTTTTCGAAAAGAAATGTATCGACGAGAATGAATTCTTGCATATTTTCAAAAATTTAGCTTTCTCAATGTGATGTGAGTGAAATCTTAAACATTATTGCATCAGTTCACATACTTAATATTAATACATACAATGTAATTCAGATACATTCTAGTAATTGCAAATGTAAGCCTACAAAATAGTTCGAGCAAATCACCTTAAACGTATATTCAATGTTACAAGATCCACAGGCGCGTTTTTTAAAAATAGTTTACGTGCCTATATCGTGTAAACTAAATATTAACTATCAATTTGTCTTCTAGTGAAGCATTAGCTTAATGACTTCTCAGGAATGAAAGATTTTTCGTATTTCTAAGTAATTTTCAAAGGTACTTTTAAAAGTCTGTCGATCTTCGTTTCAAGTGATCAGTAACATCTAGAATTCTAATTCGTGAATCTATCATATCAGAGCAAATATTATTTTTTTCTTCCTTATACCCTAATATTAATTAACATATTTTATGTTATTAATAAAATGAAAACAAAATGTAAAAAGCAGTAAAAACAAAAATTAAATTCAAACTATATGGCAACATTTCGTGTTTAGGTAAAACGTCATTCAGTTAGTACTTTTTTTTTCATAAATAAAATCCAAGTCCAACAAACACTGTGCTTTGTTATGTCGTTTCATCAAACAAGTTTATTTGTAATTTGTTAAGTTAGTGAATAAGAAAAATGGCAGACTTTGACGCAATATATCCAGACGAAACTGAAAGTGAGGAGAATATAGAAGAGACACATGTGACGTTAGTGCCCGATCCAATCGTTGTTCGTGGAGCTGGTAACATGACAGTGTAAGGTTTATTTTATCAGCTGTTATTTATATGATCAAATAAAATATATCTTATTGATGTTCCAATAAAGATATATCAAGAAAATGCATTCATAATATGGTTCCTTTGTCATCGTCGATCAATGGCATTGAAGCTTTTCTTGAACGAGGACATTGACCAGACGTCAATTCATGAAATTTAATAGGGCACTAAATTGCATTGAAGCGAAAGTAACAGGCTTAATATCTGTAAAGTGTCCGGTTACGTTATGAAAGCGTTGCACATTATCACACAACAATCCTGTTATTTTTGCTCAGTACAAAAATAGATTTATCATATGCATAGATTAAAATTTGTAACAGAATTTCAATTAAATCAAAAAAATAGTATGAATAACATCAATTAGTTTTAAAATATCTTAACTTTTATAGAAATTAAAATGTATTGATAATATTCAATTAAAAACTTTGAAAGCCATAAATTTAATAAAAACGTGAAAATTTACGATAACTAATAACATAAACGTAAATTTAATGAGTCATAACAACTGTAACAAACAAACTGCTTGTTATCATAGTGCCACATATTTTCCTGGATTCAATGAAATAGGTCATACTTTGATAACATTCATAATATTGCTCTTTTATACTGTTTTTTACTCATTGAAGTTGTCTGTGAATCCATCTAATTTATCCAAATCGAAATTGATATTTTATTTCATACTAATGAGCTTCTAAACTCTCTTTGCATAATAAATTAATTTCAAAGATTTTTATGGAATTGATATTGATATCTAATCAAATTTAATTAATTGTAAGCTTCCAGTGTCTAAAATATGTGATTGTGCATGGCAGTATCCACTTTTGTTAACCATTTAAACTAAAACCTGTTTACTAAGCAAAGTCTAGTAACTTAAAAAAATCAAATTTCAGATTATATCCAAATCTTGTATTTTCCCATTCCATTCTATAAATTTTTAAGTTATTGAAGCTTCAAACTTATTTAAATATTTTTAAATCAGCCAACTTCAAATCATGCTAAATCACTCCTTTAAAAAAATAGTTATGTTATCTTTGTATGAGATTTAATACACTTGTATGTTTACTAAATTATACTAATATTGTAAATGTAATTACTTTGTTAAATAATGTCACTAAGTTTTTATAAAGAACTTTGAATATATCATCTGAATGGTAATTATCAGCAACAAAAAAATATATGTTTCTTTTTAACTTCCACTAAGACATAGGTCATAAAAATGAATTGACTAGTTCATGAACATTTTCAATTAGCAATATTTTATTGTTTTCCATTACAATTTCAGTTTTGGTTTAAGCAACCGTTTCAACAATGAGTTCCCCTCTGGTCTTCAATCACGAGTAGCCCCCGAGGAATACCAGGCTACGGTGGCTCGTATCAACAGCGTTCTGAAGAAGACATTGCCTGTTAATGTGAAGTGGTTGTTCTGCGGATGTGTTTGCTGCTGCTGTACTCTTGGATGCTCTCTTTGGCCAGTTATATGTCTAAGTAAAAGAGTAAGTGCTTATCTTGCTATATCTTACTAATATTATAAATGTGCATGTTTGGATGGATGGATGTTTGTTTGAAGTAACTCCATGATTTTTCAACAGATCTCTTTGTAATTTGACATAGATGTAGAACAAAGTCTGGAAGAACATGTAGGCTACTAATTAATTCTGTGCGAACAGAGTTGCAGGCCACTACTAGTTTCTATATAAATTCCGTTTGTTCCATCCTAAACCACCTTGTTATCTACATCCATACATCAAAATAACCATTGAGTTTTATGTCTTTAAGAGAAAATAATAGTGAGATTTATGCATGCTATAACATCATCCTTTCTTTCAGACACAACATTCACTTAATAAGCTATTGGAATGGGAGAACAGTCGGCTTTACAATAAATTGGGTCTGCGCTGGAGACTTACCAAGCAGCATTGTGACTCGTCTTCCATGATGGAGTATGTACTTCTTATAGAATTTATACCCAAAATACCCATATACAGGCCTGACTAAACATTACAACAAATTTTGTTTTGTAAATACATTTTTACCTAATTAAAAAAAAAATTTGACATGACTAACTCTAATATAAAAACAAGCCGAATGTACCATGTACAATTTATATTTAAGGGAATCTTTGTAATTGGCGTTGTTATTCATCAAGCCATTTTATATTGTATAGAGCAAGTAGGTGATGATGCTTTTTGTGTATAGATGTCACTTTAATTGCAAGCTATTAAATGTTAAGTCATTCTAAGCATTTGCATTACACCTTATTGTTGATAATGCATTGTTAACGTAGTCATTCTAAATTTAAAAGTGCGACAGGCATCTTTTGGTACGTTGATGACATTTAGAATTGGTGTTGCCAGATAATAAAAATCGTATTATTCCAAATGAGGAAAAATTATGAGTGTAATTACTTTTGTAACTACAAGCATATCATTGGTGTTGTATAAAATAACAGCAATAATGAGACTATTTAATAAGTTAAGAGAGAAAGGCCATGAATCGACTTACTATTCTATAATTAATTTCTTATTTGGCTTCTAAAAACACCTGGCAGTTACTTTTGCTGTCAAAAGTGACAATTTACAATGTAACGGGAAAACGCCATATTTGGCCTCGTGCCAAAAGTTTCTTGTCGCACTGAAATGAGGCTGATAAAAAAACGAAGCGGAATTTCAGTATTTTAATGTTTATGTTGCAAGCAAAAATAATATTCATGATATTTAAATCATCTTTCCTGAAAAAACATTGCTTCAGATGTCATGATCTGACAGTTTATGTTATAACTCGGGGAAATTGCATGATTATTAAAAAAAATATTCACAAGTCAGGCCTCAACGAAAGAGGTTGAATTATTTAATAAATTGCGCACATCAATGTTAAAGCGTTAAGAGATCTTATTATTTGCCCTTAAATTAAGTCTCTATTAGACAAACTCGATTTTTTTTACTAACGAACAATTTTTTTTAAAGATGTTTTGTTATATACGTATGTATTTTTTTTATAACAAGTACCTGAACGACGACTTTAGTTTCGATATAAGTTTTTCAGTTAAAAAAATTATATAACATATGCTTGTTCTGTGAATTTAATTTAGGGAGACTATTTGGGACTGTGTTACTAGGAAATTAATTTTTGTAGTATGTATTATTTAGTGAAAGTTCGCCCTCTTTTCTCTTTTCAACATGTTGTGAAGGATATCAGTGGGTACACGTTGTCACTGCAATATTTATATTAAAAAAACAATCTCGATGTTTCTTTTAATAAAAAAAACGTATAAATAACTTAATGAAGTAACAGCAATGGAGTTGTCTTGCCACCGCCTTCTCTGCCGAGGACAACGGTTGAAAAGTGAACAGGGTATGTTGACATTAAGTTGTAATCTAAGCTAAATTGTAAATATTTTAATTACATTATAATATAGAATATTTTTGTTCAAATAATAAAACTCACTATGTGATAATACAAATCTTTTTCTATCCGATATATCTTTAAATATTGAAAATCTTACAATCTTCAAAATAACATATATAGATTCGTATATTTGTCCGGTGGCGGCACCGACTACCAGTACCACTCGGCTCGAAACTAGTCGGTGCCGCCACCTGACGAATATACGTGAGTGTTTAGCCGTGTTTATATATCAGTTTAGTATAATGTCTCACGAAAGTTTGAATAATTTAATAGATAGATTCCCTAAAATTGAGATATTTTTTTTATAATTTGTAATTTCACAAAACCATTGTACAGTCGAATCTAGATAAGTGAGAGTCCAAGGTACCGCGAGAAAAATTCTCGCTTATAGAAGTTTCTCACCGGGTTTTCTCGCTTATTGAAGTCCGTCGAGGTCGAGACGTTTCTTGTTTATCAAGGTTCGACTGTATATGTCTCACCAATGCAAACTCGCAGTTAACGTGATAATAAATACGTTATTTATATTATCACAACAATCGGAATATTCCAATGAGCTCAATAGATGCAATTTGATGGCACAATCTGTTTTATTCGCAGCTGTCTAACGTTCATCTATTTATAACTTAAAATGTTTTCCGCATAGGTATTGAGATGGTTTACGATTACATTTAACTATGACCTTCATAGCACGGATGCAATTCGATATTGCATTTTTGTAATACTAGGGCTTATCGATTAATTTGTTGTACGAAATGTCTAAACATGGGTTACCACTGCGAAATAGTGGAAACACTATTTAATTCCCCCTTTTAAAAGTTGGCACAAAATAACGCCCGGATCGATAGTTTTGGTCGATATTATTACCTGTAGTTATCAGGTTAGTATGCTTTCTTGCTTACTACTTTCATGAAAAAACTAAATTAAGAACCTGATTATAATAAGATCAGTGTAACATTATTTTCTTTATAATGACATAATTACAACTCCGATTATTTTAATTTAAAATTGAAATGTAATCCAAATATTTCCACTGACTAATTACATTTCGTTTTATCATATTTTTGTAATTTGTAAAATAAATTAATTTAAAATTTAAAGTAAAAAAAATAAATCGATAACCTTATCAATGTGTACGAAACCAAAAATTTGAGATATTTATTACCAAAGAGGTCTATTAGGTGACTGCATTTATCTAACGCCAATAACCATTACCGCGTTGCGTTCTAATCCGTACTATATTTTGTATAATAAAATTACTACACTAGAAAATCACAAGATTACGACGAGATTACAACTAATATTGGTGATTTCATAATATACGAAACATGGACAACGCAGGACATATTTGAAAATTAAATTAAATACCTTTTAATATCAGGATATAACGAGAGATTTCCGATCACGAAGGTGGGGGTTCGATTCCCGCCATTGTCGTAAACCATGTCGTAGCACAAGCATATAGCTTCGTTGGAATGGTACAAGAAATATTAGTAAATAAAGAAAAATCTAAATTTCAAAAATTAAAAAAAATTATAAAACTTTTTAAACTCTGTAAAATATGATTCGAATAAAACAAAAATACACATCTGCATTAGATTTTATTATAAATAAGATCATATTATACATATAATTGAAGTTAAAAATACCTGTTTAAGGCACTTTGTGTTATGGTCCCACCAACAAAAAAAACAATTAAAACTACTTAAAAATAAAATGACACAAAAATATTACAATGAAGCTATACATACATACAACTTAATAAAAATATTAACCAAATTTTAAAGCTACAAAATTATTATCGTCATAACATCGTCTCCATGATTATTATAGAAAAACCATAAAAACAATTGGAAAATTAATACATATAAGTAAACCACACTTTGGTTAAACAAAGTATGTGGATACCATCACACTGGAGTAAACAAGCAAAATATAGTTGTTAATTATATCTAATATTATCAGATCAATATGAGACTACACAACCTATATTTATGTTTATAAAACACGAACATAGCATATACTAGAATTGACATTAAAATATCGAGTTTAGGCATGTTCCTTTAATATCGATGTTTAGGTATATCAACACTTACAATATCGATAATCATAAATTGCGAAACCTACCGTTTAGACATAATAAGATTATTTAGTATTCAAAATTAGTTATACTGTTTTTCACATTATGTCATTGAACATTATATGCTTTTTCTTTGATGTAATTTATCAACTTGATGTAAATTAAAAAAAGAATAAGACTCAATTGTATTAGATTTCATAAAATTATCGATATTTTTCCCATCTCTAGGAAAACACGACTCCAGTATATGCTCAAGTTCTAGTGTATATTTACAAAGTCACGTTACATTTCTCTCTTCGTGTTATTTAGAGCGATGACATTTCATGTCAAATGGCAATTAAATCTAATTAGAGTATACTTATGTTATATGGCAGCACTGGTTATGAAGGTGCGATTGTACTGCATTTAGTTGCCAGTAATAAAATTAAGTCAATAAAAAGACTACATAAAAATATGATAATAAACATTAAATCCTTTTTTTACAATGTCGCAAATATTTAAAAGTATATTATTTAATAAGAGCAAGCATTTTATTATTACATATTTTATTGATATACTGTCGAACCTGGATAAAAGAGGATCCTCATAAGCCAGAAACTCGGGTAAGAGAAACCTCTATGGGCGAAAAAAATATCGCTGTCCCTTTCCAAGTTCGACTACTTGATTTATCATATATGTACAAATAATATTTTTTTATTGCACATTGAACATAAAATAATATTAATATCATTAATTTACATAGTATTCATTTCTAAATGTGAACATATCTTTTTAGACATCGCGATGTAAAATGTTTTAAATATCAGTTTAAGGGTGAGTTGCAGCAAATCATCTGTTATAGTTTTCGTTATGGTTAATTGTAACGATAACTGTAACAGTAACTGGAATTTTAACTACCACTCGTTGCATCATGACATCTTACGTTAAAGTTAAAAGGGTGACAAAAGATAAATGATATTTTCTCCCAGATTGATACATTGTAATTTAACTAACCGAGTCCTGATCGAATAGTTCATTTTCATAAAAGTTATGGCTAAAACAGACGACTTCCACAACATCATTTAGAAATAACATTGTTTTAGAATAAGATTTGATAGCACCGGTACACAAGTTACAGTGTTTACGTAATAGAAAAGCTTGGAATCCCTATAAATCCTAATCGGCTAAACGCGGTATGTATCCAACATTACCAGTTCGATTTGTAACACATAAATATCACATCATTGCGTTCATTGAAATTAACATATATAAATTTAAAGATTTGACTATCTTACCGTGGCTGTGTAAGACCAAAACCCCTGTTAAAAACTTGGTTATCTCTGTTCTCAATGATGAAAGACAGGGATGACGATATGTTTATACAGAGATTATTGTGTCAGAACCCACGGTTAATTTTAAAAGAATGAACTTTTTTACTTTATTTAATCTCTCTTTACGACGATTTCTTTATATAATATAATATGTATGAATTTACGGTTATATTTTGAACCTTTTGACCCGATAAAAAACGCCTATAAATAAATATATTACACCTTATTCAACTCATTTGGACGTAATTCGCTGGAAATTGTCCTTTTACACCTTTACACTCACCGAAGTACCATTCTTCGTTCAATTTCTGCATAACACGAATACTATCGCCTGTTGAAAACTGCAAATCTCCGGTTTGTACTGGTTCAAAATCGTATAAAGCTATCGCCTCACCAAGTATAGGTTTTGTTGCTACATCATTTGGTAAAGGCACTTTAATCTCCACGTAATTGGACGGAAAGAGACCTTCGACGCCATTTTTTAATCTGCCTGACAGCCACTCCTCGTTGACGCGCCTTATTAGATAGATTTTCGAATTTGCCTGTAAGTAAAAGAAAAGTGGAAATTAATATATATAAAACTTGATTAAAGAAAATCGCAATGTAACTTTGATAAAGACAGGAAAGTAATTAAGTACAAGTTAATACAAAATAACTAGTAGTTGCCCGCGACTTTATCCACGCGGAATTAGAAATCCAACCGGTGAAAGAATAGTTTAACGAACAATCAAATCTATCTTTCTTTAGAAGTATAGATAAGGGTTAGTTCACATGATGCCAGGGCATAAATGACCAAGAAAAAATTACTCAGTCAACGCAGTGAAATTATTCTTTATTTAATTATTGTATTATGTATATGTTACGTCTATTTTTGAGGTAAGTAAATACATTTGACGTAATAGGAATTTTAAGAACTATATTCAACAACGTATGTATTTCCTATGATATAAATATGCATGTCTTAAATACGAAATACCGACTGATATTTTTAAATCTTCATTATCTTACGTTTTGTGGTTTTACAGAAACTTGATGCAATATTATAATTCTAGAAGATTCAATATCAATGAAAATTACTAGCTGTCGTCCGCGACTCCGTCCGCGCGGGATTAAAAATAGATAGTAGCCGATTCTCATAATTACTGAATATGCATATAAAATTTCATAAAAATCGGTTTGTTTCTTATGAGTATGGTAACTAAGATTGTGACACGAGATATATATATAAGATACTAGCAGTCACCCGCGACTCCGTCAGCGCGAAATTAAAAAAAAAAACTTAATTAGTAGCCTAATGTATTCTTCCAGACAATGTTCTACATGCATGCCGAATTTCATCAATATGCGTTGTGCCTTTCCGGAGATACCTTCAAACAAACATCCATCCACATAAACATTCGCATTTATAATATTAGTAAGATATAATACATATGTTATATGCAAAAAAAAATCAATTATCAGTTATAATTAATTGAATTCTATATGAATACATTAACAGCTATCAGTAGGTTATTGACCAGACGTAATGCAATAATTAGCCATTTCATTTTCAATACTGCACTTTTATATTTCATAATTATTATATTACAGATTGCCTATTAATAAATACTAATTGAATTTATTATACAGATAAAGAAGTAGAAAGTTAGGCAATATACTATTTTCCCAGAGAGGAATGCTTTATGC